CGGGGGAAGGCTCCAGCCGGCTCTGCCCGGACGGTTTTGCAAGCCTTGCTGTTTCAGCCCGGGAGGGCAGGAAGGGAAGGATTTTTGGCCAGAAAAAAGCCCTCGTGTAGACAGAGTTATATCAACAGCCGCCTCGCAGCGCAGACAATGCCAGTACAGAGAAACGTGATCCCCCGCCAGACCCCGGCCCTCGCGCCGGGCTCAGCCCCGCGCGGCCCTCCCGTGCCTCAGTTTCCCCCTCCCCAAATCCTTCCATCGCCTTCAGCGCGCACCGGGAGACGGGGATTTGCCCCCCGCAGCAGCCAGTGTGCTCCCAGCCCTCCCAAAACCCGGGGAGCAGCTCCGAGCCCCCTGTCCCGGCACGGGGGGACCCCAGCCCGTGGGGGCACCTCCCGGGGGTCCCAGCGGGGCGAGCTTTGGCTGCGGGCTGGGGGAGAGGAAAAAAACCAGGGGTCAGGGATGGGGGGTGGCGCGGGGGTGCGGGATGGGTCCTGCTCTGCGGCGCCGTGGGATGGAGAGGGGGGCTGGCATGGGGGGCTGGCATGGGGTGCTGGGGGCTCCCCGCCGCCTTTGACAGCTCCCAGTGCAGCCAAGAGCGGGGAGCGAAAGCGGGGCGCGGGGCCAGCCCCCCCTGCTCCTCACCCTAAGCACAACCAGCTGCATCCCGGAGCGGGACCGGCCGCTGCTCCCCCCGAGCCCGGGACTGCCCGGGACTGCCCGGGCCCGGCGCGGCGGAGCCCAGTTCGGCCGTGCGGAGCCCCGAAGAGCGTGCGGGGCACGCTCGCAGCCCCCGCACTCCTTCCCGCACTCTTTCCCGCACTCCTGCCCGCAGCCGCGCTCCCGCGGCCCCCGCGCTCCCCTTTGTCCGCCCGCCCGCCCCCCGCCGCGCATCCCCCCGCTCCTACCGGCTTTGCAGGGGTCCTTGTAGTCCAGGGGCTCCTCGTCCTCCTCCTCTTCCTCCAGCACGTAGGAATAGTCCGGAAAGCGCAGGGCCCGGGCCAGGAGCAGGCAGAGGAGCAGCCCGCAGCTCCGCAGCCCGGCCATGGCTCCGGCCGGCGTTTTTTTTTCCTCTCTTCCCTCTTTCCTTCCCTTCTTCGCTTTTTTTTTTTTTTTTTTCCCTCCCTCTCTCCCCCTTCTTTTTTTTTTTTTTTTTTTTTTTTTTTTTTTTTCCCCCCCCCCTCCCCCCCTTTTTTTTTTTTTTTTTTTTTTTTTTTTTTTTTTTTTTTTTTTTTTTTTAGGGAAATGAGATCTGGCGGGGGCGGGTTCAAGCGCGGAGCTCGGCCCCTGCAGCCCCGGGCGCAGGGCTCGGAGCGGGGCCAGCGCCGGGGGGGCGGCGGGGACGGGGACGAGGACCTGGCCCGCAGCCCCCGCTGCTGCCCCTCCGCAGCCCCCGGGCCCGCTCCTGCACGCCCGGGGCCGGGCTGGCCCGTCCCGTCCCGTCCTGCACCCCCGGGTCCCGTTTCGTGTTCCCCGGTACCGCTCGTGCTCTCTCCGGTACCGTCCCGTACCCCGGTACCGACCCTGCCGAGCCGCCCCGCTCCCGTTCCATTCCCCGGTACCGACCCTGCCGAGCCGCCCCGCTCCCGTTCCATTCCCCCGGTACCGACCCTGCCGAGCCGCCCCGCTCCCGTTCTATTTTCCCCGGTACCGATCCCGGTCTCCCCCGCTCCTGCTCCGTTTTCCCCGGTCCCAAACCCACCCCCGCCCCCCAGAACCGGTCCCTCACCCGCTGCTCCGTCTCTCCCGGTGTCTCTCCTGCCCCACTCCGGTCCCACCCGGTGTCCCCAGCCCCGTTCGTGGCCCCCCTCGGTCCCGTCTCGCATTCCCCGGTACCGATCCAGAGCCCCCATCAGGCCCTGGATCATTCCTGGCCCCCCAACATTCCCAGGACACAAATTCCACATCTCCCAGCGCCCCTCTGTCCCCTTCGGTGCCACCCGTGTCCCCAGCACCCCCAAATGACCCAGCCCCACACCCGTGTCCTGCTCTGGCACCCCAAATTCCCACCCACATTCCCAGCCCTGGACTCCCAGTCCTGCATTTCTGCTTCTTCACCCCTCATCCTGCACCCCAAATCCTGGCCAGCACCCTGAGGACTGCAGGAGCACCCCAGGAGCTGGGAAAGCACCCTGGGAATGGTGGGGAAGGAGCCTGGGGGCAGGATGGGCACCCCAGGAGTGGGATGAGCACCCCAGGAGCGGGATGAGCACCCCAGGAGCGGGATGGGCACCCCAGGAGTGGGATGAGCACCCCAGGAGCGGGATGAGCACCCCAGGAGCGGGATGGGCACCCCAGGAGTGAGACGAGCACCCAGGAAGGTTGGGCGATGGAGAAGCACCCCAAAATCTGGGCCAGCTCCCCAGGAAGGGTGGCCAAGCACCCCAAAAGGGGGATGTCCACCTCGGGGAGGGTGTGTGAGCACCCTGGAGGGGGTGTGTGGGCACCCTGAGCACCCTGGGCTCAGGATGAGCACCCCAGGAGCGGGGTCAGCCCCTCAGTGAGTGCCTGGGGAGCAGAGGGAGCCCCCAGGGCGATCCCAGCCCCCAGGGGTGGCCAGGGCACAGAGACACAGCCCTGTCCCCGTGCAGTGGCCCTGCCTGGGACATTCCAGCCTGGCAGTGCTGCAGTGGGATCTGGCTCATCCCGTGCTGCTCCTGCAAACCCATCCCTCTCCTCTCACAGCGCTCCCAGACTTGCAGCAATTCATTTTTCAGGACTTTAAGTGTTTCCTGTGTCTGATGACCTCCACAGGGACACTCTGGGTGACACCAGCATCCAGGCTCCGCTCCTTCCCTGCCCTCCAAGCCCCCAAATCCCCTTTCCCTCCACTTTTGGGGATCCCCTGCACCCAGGGCCTGGCTAGTTCCTCCCAGGAGTGACGGAGTCTCCTTCACCCTTATCTCTGTGTCCTTTTCCTGCCCCACCAGGATCATCCCAGGACGTTTTCCTCCTTCCCCCTTATTGCAAAACCCGCATCCAGCAATACTTTCCTCCTCAAAGTAGATAAATAAACCCTGAAGAAGCAGAGTGACGCCGTGTCCCCGCTCTGCCCCCGCCCTCACATCACACAGCGCATCCCAGGGACGGGAATTTGGGGAGCACCCGCTGGATTCCACTCCCACCTCGAGCCCTTCTCCCAGGAAAACAAACAAGCTTCTGGAACACTTCTTGTTTGCATCCTGCGCTGGGGCTGGGGAGGACGTTTGCGGGCCGAGCCCCTGGGTGATGTCCATCCATGATGCCAGGGTCCAGCCTTGCTTTCCCCCCGGAGATCTCCCCTTTCTCACGGAGCGCTCCGGGGGAGCTGAGCCTCGCCGAGGAGGGGAGGAGCGCCCCAGGAGGTGCTTTTCCCAGCGAGGAGGCTTTTCCCAGCCCGGCTTTCCCACGGCAGGCTCGGCTCCCGGGAGCCTGGAGGCCGCTGGCCACCAGCGTGGCAAGCTGCAGCCCTACCTGGAAAAGGAGCAGGGCACCCCGGCCGGCCTGAGCACCAGGATGGGAATGCCCTCGTGCCAGGAGCCCTGGGTGGATGTCACCTGGCACGGGCACGCGGATTCCAGCGCTCCTAGCTCAGCCTGCCCGCCCTGCAGGGCTTCCTTGGCATCCTGGAATGTCAGGTGGGCGATGCCAGGGCCTGGCACCGGCGCAGCCGTGAGGGTGGGGGACGCTGGGAGCTGCCAGGAGCATTCCTGGGTGCCATCCTCAGCTCTTCCATCCCCAAAACCTCCACAGCAAAGGGCAGCCCGGGGCGTTCCCAGCGCCTTTTCCCCCACGGAACCGGGATCGGTGACCCCTGGGAGACCCCTGTGCATGGGATTGTCCCCTGTGGCCACTGTGACACAACCCGGGGGGCTGGAGGGTGGCAGCTCCTCTTCCCAGTGAGGGGATCCCCCATTCCCAGCACCTTTTACTCTGATTTCCCCTGCCAGGACCCCCGAGGTCCCCACAGCACCGCAAACCTCTGGAAATCGGGATACGGGAATTATTGCACAAGGATCTGGTCCTGCCAACTTTCTGTCACCTCCTGCATCCGCTCCGGCCTTGGGGGGAGGCTGAGGGGGTCTGGGGGTCAGGGAGGGTTTGGGAGGGGACACCCCGGAGCTGCAGGAGGCCCTGGATGGTGCCCCAGCTCCCGGCCAGCTGCAGCTGCACCTTCCCAGCAGGAGCAGCTCCCTGGTGCCAGGAGGGGAAAGGGGGCTGGGCCCAGGAGTGGGGGCACTGGGGGGCTGGTGGTCCTCACTTTGGGGCTGGTGGGCTCCCGTTCCTGGGGATTGGATGGGCTGCTCCCTGTTTGTCTCAGCCCCAGGCCAATGTCCTGATCCCAATAACCCCTGGTCCTAATAATGCCAGAATCCCATCCTAGTAAAGCCTGATCCCAATAAAATCATGGTCTGTGTAACTCCTGATCCTGATAGAACCAGCATGTCGGTCCTCATAGTGCCTGATCCCCACAACACCCGATCCCAATATCACCAATATCCCAGTCCTAACAGCTCCTGATCCTAATAACACCAACATCCTGACCCAAATAATTGCTGACCCCAATAATTCCTGATCCTAACAGTACCAGCACTCCTGTCCTAATAACACCTCAGCCTAATAATGCCTGATCCCAACACCATCTCCCTCATCCCAAAAATCCCAATAATTCCCAATTCTCATAATGCCTGATCCTGATAACTCCCGATCCCAGCAGCCTGTCCTAGATCACCCCAGTGCTAATGATCCTTTCGGCGTGGCTGACTCCAGGAATAGCTCCCAGACCTGGTTCCTGCCCTGCTGCTTTATTGCAGCCTGGCAGAGCACAGACCCATTTTTCAGGCCAGCCTGGCAGCAGGATGGACCAGCTCAGGTCAGGCAGCCAGGCTCAGGGGGCCCTCAGCGAGCCCCAGTCTGTGGCTGTGACAGAAATTCCCCCAAAATCCGAGCCCGGAGCCCCTCAAGGCGTTTTGAAGGCAGGGGGAAGGCGGGAGCTGGCGGGAGCGAAGAACTGGAACGGAGAATTGTGTTTTCTTTAAATGTCATGTTTTTTTAAGCTCATTTTTGCACTTGGGTTTGGCGAAGCTGAGAAGACTTAAGTGACAAACCAGCTGTCCCCCGGCACAGCGCAGACACCCCCGCCCCGCCCAGGGCCCCGCGCCCGCAGCCCCCCCCGCGCCGACCCCCTGACCCCTCCCCACCCCCCGCACCCCAAAATTTGGGTGGGGGGCGCGGGGGCGGCCGCGGAGGGTGCTCCCAGCGGGGCTGTGCCTGTCGGGGGCGCTGCGAGGCAAAGCTGGCGCTGCGGGGGCGTTGCTGGGGGGTCCCGCGGCCCCCTGCCCACCCCGCGGGGCTAAGCCCAGTACACCGGGAGGAGGCGGCACAGGATGCCCGCCGTGGTGCCCAGGAGGGAGCGGTCAGCCAGGGGCACGGAGATCCTGTCCTCAGCCTGCACAGGGTGGGGACAAAGCACATTCTTCATCATCATCTTCATCATTGCTCCCCTCAGGGAGGGGCTGGGCAAGCACTGAGCCCCCCTGAGCCCCCTGGCCCAGCCCGGTCCTCACCTGGCGGCGCTGGAAGGTCTCGAGCACCGTGTCCAGCCCCGGGATGTTGTCCCTGTCCACGCGGGTCACGTAGCAGGCGCGGTGCAGCCGGGCTCTGTAGCTCACCAGCAGCTGTTGGAAGCCAAACCCGGCTCAGCCCCATGCCATCTCCCCCTCCCCGTGTCCCCAGAGCCCCCCACTCACGTTCCTGTAGTCATAGATGACCGTGGCCGCGTTCCCGTCCCCGCTGTCCAGGTAGAAAGTGGCCGTGTCCTCTTCCCAGGCCGCTCCGGCCCACACCCTGCCCCGCAGGACCTGGAGGGGACCGAGGGGGCATCTCAGAACCTGCAGCAGCCCCCTCCCCTCCCCCGGGCGTGGGGGTCCCTCCGGACGGGGGTGCCCACTCACGGTGTCGGCGCGGCGCTGCTCCACGCTCAGCCACATCAGCAGGGCGCCGGCGATGATCAGCACCAGCAGCACCACCACGACCACGGCGATCAGCAGGCAGCGGAGGCGGCCGCAGCCCAGCAGCTTGCGGGGCAGGTAGCACAGCAGCCGAGGGACGAAGCACAGCGACTTCTTGAGGCAGCCGGAGCAGCTGGCGCAGCCGGGGCACTTGGGGCACTTGGGGCACTTGGGGCACTGGCAGCACTTGGGCAGGCAGCAGCACTTGGCGCAGCACAAGCTGCATTTGGTGCAGCACTTGGCGCAGCACGTGGCGCAGGGCAGGCAGCAGCCGGGGCAGCAGCAGCCGTTCCCCGAGTCCTGGGGATGAGGGGAGAAGGGCTCAGGGCGTGGAGGAGGGAGCTGGGGGGTGGGATTGCAGCTCTCATCCCGCTGCCCCTGGGCACTGGGGATGCAGCAGGCCACGGGCCAAACCCCCATCCCGGGCACTGGTGCCTTGCTGGGATGAACTGGGCAAAGCCCTGTGCCCAGCTGGCTGCAGGGACCCCGCGGTGTGGCAGTGCCACCCAGCAGGGACTCACCTCCTCTTCAAGCACCACCTGCTTCATGCTGCTCTCCATGGCCGCCTCCTCCTCCTCCTCCTCCTGCTCCCATTCCCAGCCCAGCCTGGCTGCAGGGACTGGGAATTTTATATCGGGGCGCTGGGGTGGGGACCCTGTGAAGGGTTTGGTGGCCTTGGGGCGCAGCCAGGCCCTGGCATGTGACCCACTCCAGTGGTGTTTGCTGAGCGCCCGCTCCCAGCTGGATCCCCCTGGGAACCTGCTGCTCGAGAGGCTCCGAGGCCACCGGGTCAAGGACCCTTGTCCCCAGGCTCGGGGACTCCTCTGCTGCCCAGGAGCGAGGTGGCAGGGCCAAAGCAAACCCTCCAGGGTGGAGCATCCGGCCGTGGCCGTGCCCGAGGCCAGAGCTGGCTCGTGTCCCTTTGCCAGCTCGGGCACCTGCAGCTGCTTGGTGTGGCAAGGAACAAACAGGACATTGAAAATTTCCTGTAATCCGCGGGGATGGGGTGGGAACGGGGTCACCGCGGTGTGGGGAGTGTCCCTGGCCCTCATTGCTGCTGAGGCTGCTCGGACACCGCTGCTGGTGGCCTTTGGGGCTGGCAGAGGTGCCCACGGTGCGGATTCTTTTGGGGTGAGGGGGTCCCAGCTCTGGCATGTCCCCCCTTAGGTGGGAGGGGGACACTGCTGAGCCTTGGTTTTGTTCATCCATGAGCCCTTCCTGCACCTGGGACCCCTCCAGCCACCCCTGAGGCCCCCAACACCCCCAACACCGACTGGGGGGTGAACGCTGCCTCTTTTCCCAGGGAGTCAAGGGCCACGGGAGTCCCTTGAGTGGCTCCTGTTTGCTCTGTCCCCATGGGAGCCCTTATCACCTTCCTGGCCCACAGCACCCTCTTGACCCAGCTCCTTATCATGGTCAGGGTTTTTGGGAAGCTGCTGGCTCTGAGTCAGCACATGGAAACCTGCAGTGTCCCTCCTGTTCCCAGCAAAGTGTCACCCCCGGAGCTGTGACCCTGCTCTCTGCCTCTGGCAGTGATTTTGGGGACAACACTGGGTTTACAGCTCTGGAAAGATCAAATCACCTCCCAGGGGTCTCTTTTTCCCCTCCCAGCCACGCTGCTCCTCTGTTTTTCAGTGCAGCACTTGGAAGTAGCCCCAAAGGCTGCTTCCAGCTGATGAGGGGGGAAGAGGGGCTGGAATGGATTGGAAAAGGGGGAGGATGGGGATGGGAGTGTGGGGGAGCTGGAACTGGAGCAAGAGGATCATGGTGAATGTGGGCAACCCCTGCTTCCCACTGGGGACGTGGCACAGTCCCTCTGTCCCCACCTGCACGAGGAGGGGACAGGGTTGGGAACGTTTCCTGAAGGGCTGGAAGTGAAGAGGTGGCTCCTTCATCCTCCAGACTGGGGGGACACAGGTGGGGACACGGGCAGGGACAATGGGAGGGCACAGGTGGGGACACTGGGGGAGGACACGGGCGAGGACAATGGGAGGGCACAGGTGGGGACACTGGGAGCACTGTATTCATTTCTGCTGCTCCCCCCGTGTTTGATCCCTCCCAACATCAGGAATTCCCCTCCCCACCCTGCACCCCACAAGGGGACACCCCTGGGACACCGTGTCCCTGTCCCCAGCACCCAGGAAAGGGCAAGAGCACACTTGGAGGCGGAGGGCACAGCCTTTACTTTGTAGACAGAAGCAAATCCCAAAGCAAATCCCAGTTTTTTTAGGGCCAGGGCAGTGGGAAAGCCGCGATGCCAAGCGACAGTGGGTGGAGCACCCCCGTGGCGGGGTGGGGACGAGGAGGAGGAGGAGGAGGAGGAGGAGAGATTCCCGCCTGGAAGGGGACAGTGGGGGACAGTGGCATCCCCGTCTCGCTGTCGCATCCCGCTGGAGCCGCTGCTACGCCCAGAACACGGGCACGGCGCTGCAGAGGATGTTGATGGTGGTGCCCAGGATGGAGCGGTCAGCCAGGGGCACGGCCTTGTCCCCAGCGTCCTCACCCTGCGGGACACAGAACGGGGCAGAGCAGCCGCCCTCGGCAGCCGCAGTGTCCCCTCCGAGGGGACAAACCCCCAGCCCCACATTTCCCGGGCCGTGCTGAGCCCGGTGCCGCAGCTGGGCGGTCACCGCTCACCTGCCGGCGCTGGAAGGTCTCGGTGACAGCGTCCAGCCCCGGCATGTTGTCCTTGTCCACGCGGGTGATGTAGCAGGCGCGGCCACGCCAGGACCTGTAGCCGACCAGCAGCTGCGGGCAGACAGAGCCTGCTGAGCCCGGCGCGGGGCTGCGGCCGTGCCGCGGCTCCCCGGGCCCCCCCGCACCTTGCCGTAGTCGTACACCACGGCTGCCGAGGCGTTGGGCCCGTCCCGCACCGCGAACGAGCCGCTCCTTCCCGTGTGGCTCACGGCCAGCTCCTGCGGGCTCCCCTCGCCGTCCGGCCCGCGGATGCTCATCCGCAGCACCTGCCAGGGGAGGGGGCTCAGGGGGCTGGACCCCATCCCGCAAAGCCCCGGGGCCATGCCAGCCCCCTCCCGGGGCCGGTGGCACCGGGGTCCCTGGCTGCCCTCACCGTCTCGGCGTGTGACTCGCTGAGGTGCAGCCCCAGCAGGAGGAAGGCGACGTTGACCACCACGAGGGCCACCACCACCAGCGCCACCACCAGCAAGAGGCTCTTGAGCTCGTGGGGGATGCAGGGCAGGCGCGGGGACTCCGTGTACCTCTGTGGGGACACAGGAGAGCCGGGGTGGCGGCGGGGGCTCAGCCCCGCGCCCGGGCTGGGTGCTGGGTGCTCCTTACCGGAGGTGCCTCCTCCATCAGCGCCTCTTTGGAGCTGTCCTCCATCTCTCCGTGCGCTCCTGTCCCTCTGCCAGCCCGGGCCCGGGGGCATTTACGGGCTCTCGGGTGGCCGGGGGAGGCTGGGGCCCCTCCCGCTGCCGAGTGCCACTTGTGCTGTTTGCTGAGCCCGCAGAAGAGCCGGGAGGGGACACAAAACCCCCGAGGGCCCTTCCGTGGCATTTGCCCGGCAGCGGTGGGGGTGCCAAGGCAAACAGCGGGCAGTGCCCGCCCTCCACACCCAGCGCGGGGCTGTGGCACCCGCAGCACGTCCCCAAGGGGGGGTCTGCACCCCGGGTTCTGCACGGGCAGCTGTGTGAGCCCCCCCGGGCGGGGAAGGCGCTGGCTGCACTCATTGTTCCCGCGGGCTCCGTGCCAGGGACGGCGCAGATGGACGCCTGGCATGGGAGAGAGGGGTGCCAGGGACGGCCGGGTGCCCGGGGCGGCGTGGATGGGTGCCCGGGGCGCTGCGGCCCCCGCGGGCACGGGAAGGAGCTGGGGGGGCAGCGCCGAGCTGGGGGAGCCGCTGCGGGGGCGTCACCCCTGCCGTGCCCCCCAATTCTGCGCCCCCCAAGAGCAGCCCGGGGGCCGCCCCCCCGGCGTGGAACCCCGAGTTGTCGCTGCCGGGGACACGAGCGGACGGACACGCGTGCCCGGGGATGCTGGCGCTGTCACTCAGCCGCATCCCTCCCTCTCTCCCTCCTTCCCTCCCTCCTTCCCTCCGTCCGTCCCTCCCTCCCTCCCGCAGCAGCGGGCATGGTGTGCTGCAGAGCCGCGGGTCAGGCGCCCGCAGCCTCCGCCGCTTCTTCTCCACCCTGACATCCCCGGGGGAATAAAAAAAACAGAGGAAAAAAAGGTTTTTCCACCGCTCCCGGGCACAGCGGCGTTGGAGCAGCTCCCGGGATCCAGCAGGGATCAGGCCAGGGCGCGATGGAGCTGCGGCGCGGGAGGAGGATGCCGAGGGACCCGCTCCCCGCTCGCCTCCTCCTCCTCCTCCTCCTCGCCGGGGCCTGGCTCTGGCTGCCGGCGGAGGGGCGGCGGCCCCCGCGGCCTCCCCCGTGCCCCCCGAGCTGCTCCTGCACCCGGGACACGGCTTTTTGCGTGGACTCCAAGGCCGTGCCCAAAAACCTGCCCCCCGAGGTCATCTCGCTGTGAGTAGCCGGGGTGGGGACAGCGATGGGGACAGCGTCACATGCCAGGAGCGCAGGGCTGGCAGGGGCTGCTGGGGTCCCGGAGGGGCAGGGACACCCCCGTGACAGGGCGGGTACGGTCAGGGCGGGGGGCTCCGGGGGAAGGAGGGGGCTGGGGACAGCCCGGGACTTGTCCCCGTGTCCTGCGGTGCTGGCACACGCAGCCATCCATCAGTGCCAGACAGAGCAGGGCTGCAGCCTGTCCCCGCCGCGACCTTGGCGACCAGAACCCCGAGGGGACACGGCTGCGACCTTGGCGACCGCAGCCCAAGGGGACACGACTGGGGAGGGGTCATGGTGGGGGTCCCTGTGGACAGGGCTGTGCCCTGGAGCCTGGCACGGGGATGTGTGGCAGGTGTGGGTGTTTACACTGTGTGTGTGTGTTTGCACACCCGTTTGTGTGTGTTACACACCTGTTCTTGTGTGTTACACCTGTCTGTGTGTGCTTACACACCTGTTCATGTGTGTTACACCTGTCTCTGTGTGTGCTTTCACACCTGTCTGTGTGTGTTACACACCCTGTTCTTGTGTGTTACATCTGTGTGTGTGTGCTTACACTCCCATTTGTGTGTTACACCTGTCTGTGTGTGCTTACACACCTGTTCATGTGTGTTACACCTGTCTCTGTGTGTGCTTTCACACCTGTCTGTGTGTGTTACACATGTCTGTGCATGCTTACACGCCCATTCATGTGTGTTCACACACGCGTGTGTGCACGTGGCCCCGGGCCAGGGGCTGCCGCAGGGCGTGGGCAGCCCGGGGTGGGTGCCAGCCCCCTGCACCTCGTCCCCTCCATGTCCCCACAACGGGCAGGGTGGCTGCTGGGGTCCCTCTGCCAACACCTGCCCCCCTCACGGGCTGCCCTGCCCAGGGACAGGGGTGGCAGTGCCATCCCCTCCTGCAGCTCCGTCTCTCCCGCAGGACCATGGTGAACGCGGCCTTCACGGAGCTCCGCGAGGCGGCTTTCGCCCACATCCCCTCCCTGCAGTTCCTGTAGGTGTCCCGAGCCCCCCGGTGCCCCCGGTGCCCGCCGTGCCCAGCCCGGCGCTGACGCCTCCCCCCTCTCCCTGCAGCCTCCTCAACTCCAACAAGTTCACGCTGATCGGGGACAACGCCTTCGCCGGGCTCTCGCACCTGCAGTACCTGTGTGTGACACGGGCACAGGGAGGGCAGGGAGGGCACGCGGGGACCCTCGGGTGGCCCCGTCACTGTCTGCTCCCGTTCCAGGTTCATCGAGAACAACGACATCCAGGCGCTTTCCAAGGGCACCTTCCGCGGGCTCAAGTCCCTGACACACCTGTGAGCACCTGGGGACACTTGGGGGGGTGGCCCTGTCCCTTCAGGGATGTGTCACCTCCACAGCCCTTCTTGTCCCCAGGTCCTTGGCCAACAACAACCTCCAGACGCTGCCACGGGACCTCTTCAAGCCGCTGGACATCCTGAGTGACCTGTGAGGCTGCCACAGCGCTGGGGACACCGGGCTGGGGAGGGGGTGACATCCCAGGGATTGGCACGTGGGCAGGGTGCTGTGTGCTGGGGGTGACTCAGTGCTATCGCTGGGACACTGGGCTGGGGAGAGGTGACATCCCAGGGGCTGGCACTTGGGCAGGGCACTGTGTGATGGGAGTGACTCGGTGCCATCGCTGGTGGGGACCCAGGGTGGGAGCTGGGGAGAGGTGACATCCTGGTGGCTGCTGGGGGTGACTCGGTGCCATCCCTGGGACACTGGGCTGGGCAGAGGTGACATCCTGGTGGCTGCTGGGGGTGACTCGGTGCCATCGCTGGGACACTGAGCTGGGGAGAGGTGACATCCTGGCAGCTGCTGGGGGTGAGTCGGTGCCATCGCTGGGACACTGAGCTGGGGAGAGGTGACACCGAGTGGGTGACTCGGTGCCATCCCTGGGACACTGGGCTGGGCAGAGGTGACATCCTGGTGGCTGCTGGGGGTGACTCGGTGCCATCCCTGCAGGGACCTCCGTGGCAACACGCTGGCCTGTGACTGCAAGATCAAGTGGCTGGTGGAGTGGCTGGAGAGCACCAACACCACGGTCCCCGCCGTCTTCTGCAGCAGCCCCGCGCAGTTCGAGGGACAGCGGATCCGGGACCTGGCGCTCGGTGACTTCCAGTGCATCACCACGGGTAAGGCACCACTGTCCACCTGCCACTTGTCACCTCACTCCTGGGCATTCAGACCTTCACTGCCACCTCTCCCTGCTGCAGATTTCGTGATGCACCAGGTGCTGCCCTTCCAGGCGGTGTCGGCCGAGCCCTTCACCTACGCCAGTGACCTGTACGTGGCCCTGGCACAGCCGAGTGCCAGCAGCTGCTCCATCCTCAAGTGGGACTACGTGGAGCGCAAACTGCGCGACTTCGACCGCATCCCCGGTGAGGAACCGGGCCGGGGGTCCCCTCCTGGGCTGGGACCCTGTTTGGGGTGCCCTGGGAAGGCTGTGACGTGGATCCTTTGCCAGCTCACTCGGCGGTGCACTGCAAGCCCATCGTGGCGCAGGAGCAGCTCTACGTGGTGGTGGCGCAGCTCTTTGGCGGCTCCTACATCTACCGCTGGGACACGGCCGTGGACAAGTTCATCAAGATCCAGGACATCGACAGCCAGAAGATCCGCAAGCCCAACGACATCGAGGCCTTCCAGATCGAGGGCGACTGGTACTTCGTCATCGCCGACAGCTCCAAGGCGGGCTCCACCAGCCTCTACCGCCTCAACCAGAACGGCTTCTACTCCCACCAAGCCCTGCACGCCTGGCACCGCGACACCGACGTGGAGTACGTGGAGAACGACGGCAAGCCGCGGCTGATCATCTCCAGCAGCTCCCAGGCCCCCGTCATCTACCAGTGGAGCCGGGCGCAGAAGCAGTTCGTGCCGCAGGGCGAGGTGGGCGACGTGCTGGACGTGCAGATGGTCAAGCACTTCAGGGCCAAGCGGGAGCAGTTCCTGTGCCTCAGCCGCTACATCGGCGACTCCAAGGTGGTGCGCTGGGAGGGGCAGCGCTTCGTGGAGGTGCAGACGCTGCCGTCGCGCGGCTCCATGGTGATGCAGCCCTTCGCCGTGGGCCAGCGGCAGTACCTGGCGCTGGGCAGCGACTTCTCCTTCACCCACGTGTACCTGTGGGAAGAGGAGAAGCAGAAGTTCGCCAAGTTCCAGGAGCTGTCGGTGCAGGCGCCGCGGGCGTTCCGGGCCGTGCCGGCGGCCGACGTGCAGCTGCTGCTGGCGCCCAGCTTCAAGGCCAACACGCTGGTGTACCGGCACGTGGTGGTGGACCTCAGCCTGTAGCTGGCACCCCGAGAGCCACCGGACGTGCATGTGCCCGCCACCCCTTGCCCCACGCCCTGTGCCAGCCCTCCACCTTCACCCCGCCCCACGGTGCCTCAGTTTCCCCACGGCGCTCCCGGTTTCACCCTGTGGGATGCGGGGAGGGAGGGTGGGACGCTCCTTGCGCTGCAGAGCTGCACCCCTGGGGGGGTGGAGAGGGTCTGGGGGGGTCTTTGTCTGCTCGGGCCATGGGCTGGGAGCTGGTGGCCAGAAAGGAGGGGGGACAGCGGGCAGGGATGTGGCAGGAGGGGTGGGGGGTTCCCAGGACGCTGAGGGACTTTGGGGTGCTCCAAAGTGGATGGGATGGCCAAGGTGCACGTGGTGGGATGGCCTGAGGAGCTTGGGGTGCTCCGAAGTGGGTGCAGATGGGGTGCTGAGGATGATGATGGGGTGCTGAGGATGATGATGGAGTGCTCCAGGATGCCCCGAGGATGATGATGATGGGATGCTCCAGGATGCTCCAGGATGCAGATGGGATGGTGAGGATGATGATGGGATGCTCCAAGGCCAGCAGGATGCCCCGAGGATGATGATGGGATGCTCCAGGATGCCCCGAGGATGATGATGATGATGGGATGCTCCAGGATGCCCCGAGGCGGATGCAGCAGCGGACAGCGGAATGCTCCAGGCCAGCAGCTCCTGTCCCTCTCCGTGCATGCCCAGCAGCTCCCCGTGCCAGGCGTGCCCAGCGTGCCAGCGGGGCGTCCGTGCCCACCAACCCCCCCAATAAACACACTGTGCCCCCCAGCCCTGTCTGTGTGCCTGCTCCACCCAACATTCCACTGCCCCAGCAGAGGGAAATCCTCATTTTAGGGCACTCCAGGCCCTGCACTTGGTGGCTTTTTCCAGCAGAAACCTTGGCCCACCTCCGTGCCTGACGTTCTGTTCCCCCAGGGAGAGGAAATTCCTGATTTTTGGGTGCTCCTGACCCCAAATGTGGGTTTTTTCCAACAGAAACCTCTGCCCACCTCAGTGCTGAGATTCTGCTCTCCCAGGGAGAGGGATTTCCTCATTTTAGGGTGCAAGTGGGGTTTTTTCCAGAAGAAACCTCGGCTTACCTTGATGCCTGCTCCACCCGACATTCTGCTCCCCAGGGGAGATGAAATTCCTGATTTTTGGATGCTCCTGACCCCACATGTGGGGTTTTGCCAGCAGAAATCTCTGCCCACCTCTGTGCCCACTCCACCCGACATTCTGCTCTCCCAGGGAGAGGGAATTCCTCATTTTAGGGTGCACATTGGGCTTTTTCCAGCACAAACCTCAGCCCATCTTGGTGACTCCTCCACCCCACATTCAGTTCCCCGGGGGAAAGGGAATCCCTAATTTTTGGGTGCTCCTGACCCCAAATGTGGGGTTTTTCCAGCAGAAACCTCTGCCCACCTCGGTGCCTGCTCCATCCAACATTCTGCTGCCCCAGGGAGAGGGAATTCCTGATTTTCGGGCGCTCCAGGCCCCACACGCGGTGTTTTCTCCCCTCGTCCCGCAGCAGGAGCTGCTCCCCGGGGAGGGCAGTCCCCGCTGGACTGGTTTTCCGGGGGAGCCTTTCCCTGGCTCGGGGTGCATCAATCTGCATGTGAAAAAGCACCAATTAAGCGCACTAATGAAGATCCTCTCGCGGCTAACAGGCAGCCCCGGGGCACGGATGCGTTTGGGGAGAGGGCTGGCTCCTGGCAGGGCGTTGCCACGTGTCCCTGCCTCAGTTTCCCTGGCAGGAAAAAGCAGATTTGAAAGCACAGGTGCCCCTGCCTCAGTTTCCCCGGCAGGAAAAAGCAGATTTGAAAGCTCAGGGGACACTGAAGGAAGGTCCTGGCACTTCCTCGGTGGGATGGGGAATTTGGGGAGCCCCGGGTCACTCTTGGGGCTGCAGGGCCGAGGGGGAGCTGGCCCAGAGAGGCGATTCAAGCAGCTTTTGTATTTTTGGGAGCTCCACTCTGACAGTGGAGTGATCCTCATCGTCCTTCAGAGCACCAAAAAGCATCATGTCCCCTCCAGAACCCCAAAAAATCCTTTAACATCAATTAAAAATCCTTTAACACCAATTAGAGAGGCTCTCCCCTCCTTTCCTTACCAGTTTATTGATTTTAAAATTGTGGTTTAATATATAGAAATACATATATTAGGGAATTAATTTTTATGTTTTAAGGAGCAGTTAATATAGATTATATATTAATATATTGCATTTAATGTAGTGATATTTGGTATATATGGGGACTTTTAAACATGGTATTTTTAGGTTTGTTTAGGATATTTATTAAAATTTAATATAGATATATTTAAAGATAATTAATATAGTGATTAAATATATAAATATATATTGATATATAATATATTATACATAGTCAATATATATTATATATTGATATTAGATGTTATATACTATATATTATACATGAAATATTATAATATCAATATATTAATATATAATATATAATATATAATATATAATATATAATATATAATATATAATATATAATATATAATATATAATATATAATATAATATTTAATATTAGATATTACATAAACATATTAAACATTATATAAATACATTAAATATTATATAAATATATTGATATCTAATATATTTAAGGAATTTATAAAGTGGTTTTACTTTATAAAGCTCCACGCTCCACACGTGGGTCACACTTTAAGGGGCCCTGCTGCCCTTTTAAGAGCCTCTGTTGCCCTTTTAAGGGCATTGCCCTTTTAAGAAGCTCCGTTGCCCTTTTAAGACCATTGCCCTTTTAAGAGCGGTCGGTGGGGCCCGGACCGCGCATGCGCGGCTCCGTTGCTGCAACTTTCAACTTTTGGGATTCGCTCCCTTGGGGTTCGGGGGGAATTTGGGGGAATTTGGGGGAGTTCGGGGGGATTTGGGAGCTGCAGGGGGGCGCAGCCCCGCCCCTCCCGGCCGCGCCATGGTGTCCTGGATCCTCAGCCGGGTGATTGAGTGAGTGCGGTCCGGGCGGTGTAACGGGGCGGGGGGGCTCACAGGGGATCCCCCATTCCCGCTGTTCCCCTCATGGATCTCCCCGTGCTCGGCCCGGGGGCTCCTCCGAGAGACCCCGGCGGGGTTTGGGGGGGCGACCCCGAATATCCGTGTGGGGGTAAGCATCACCCCCCAGCCCACACACTTCCCCCTCAGCAGGGTCCCCGAGCCGCTGCCGGCCCCTCAGCCCGCGCGGTGCCGGGGTCCCGGAGCGGGGCAGCGGGCGGGTGTCTGAGGGCGCTGCGCCTCCCTCACGTCCCTCCCTCAGGGCGAGCCAGCCGCAGCCCTGCCCCGCCCGGACAGGTCGGGCCGGTCGCGGGCCCGCGGCAGCGCCATGGCCGAGCCTCCCCACAGCCTCCGCGCTGCGGAGCCTCCCGGGCCGCTCCCCGGGCTCGGCACCGGGCTGGAGCGGCTCCGGGCCGCGCTGCGGCGCTGGGCCCGCCGGCTCTGCCTCTCCGGGCTGCTGCTGCTCTGGGCGGGCTGGCCGCGCTGCCTCACGCCCCCCCTGCCCTACAGGCTGCTCTTCGGGATGCTCTACCCGGCCTACGCCTCCTACAAGGCCGTGAAGACGAAAAACATCCGGGAATACGTGAGTCAGGGGCCTGGGGAGCCCTGTGCCTTGGGGCTCCTGTCCCCTCTTCTCCCAGACCCCAGGCACCCCCCTTTTCCTTGGGGCTCCAGTCTCCCCCTTTTCCTTGGGGCTCCAGTCTCCCCCTTTTCCTTGGGGCTCCAGTCTCCCCCTTTTCCTTGGGGCTCCAGTCTCCCCCTTTCTGCAGCTCCAGTCCCCCCATTTTCCTTGGGGCTCCACTCCCCTCTTTTCCCAGACCACAGTCACCCCCTTTTCCTTGAGGCTCCAGTCCCCCCATTTTCCTTGGGGCTCCACTCCCCTCTTTTCCCAGACCACAGTCACCCCCTCCCCACTTTTTCTTGGGGTTCCAGTCCCCCCCTTTCTGCGGCTTTTCCTTGAGGCTCCAGTGCCCCCTTTTTCCTTGGGGCTTCAGTCCCCTCTTTTCCTGGACTACAATCACCCCCCCTTTTCTTTGGGGTTCCAGTCCTCCCCTTTCCAGGACTCCAATCCCCTCTTTCCCCAGTCCCCCTTTCCCGGGTTCAGCCCCCTTTTCCCAATCTCCAGCCCCCATTTCTGGGCTCCAATCCCCCTTTCTGGGGTTGAGCCTCCCATTTTGAGGTCCTAGCCCCTTTCCGGAGTTCACCCCTCCCTTTCCAGTCCCCAGCCCCTCTTTTCCCAGCCCCAGCCCCCTCTGATGTGCTCCCCGTGGCCCCCAGGTCCGCTGGATGATGTACTGGATCGTCTTCGCTCTCTTCATGGCCACAGAGACCTTCACCGACCTCCTCATCTCCTGGTGAGCCTGGGGAGGGACTGGCTGTCCCCAGACCCCCCCAGATGTGTCTGTGGGGACCATGAGGTGCCTTTAGACCCCTCATCTCCTGCCCCTCTTGCCCAGGCTCCCCTTCTACTATGAGATGAAGATGGCTTTTGTCATCTGGCTGCTGTCGCCGTACACGCGGGGGGCCAGCCTGCTGTACCGCCGCTTCGTGCACCCCACGCTGGCCCGCAGGGAGAAGGTACACACGGCTGGGGGGCTGGGGGTCCCCCTGACTGCCTGGGGATCAGCCCCCAGGGTACACACGGCTGGGGGGCTGGGGGTCCCCCTGACTGCCTGGGGATCAGCCCCCAGGGTACACACGGCTGGGGGGCTGGGTGTCCCCCTGACTGCCCAGGGGTCAGCCCCCAAGGTACACATTGCTGGGGGGCTGGGGGTCCCCTGCCCCGTCCCGAGGGTCAGTCCCCCCTCAGTTGTGGGGGTGATACCCCGGGGATGTGGCATTGCCCCAGGTCATGGGGGGTGACAGTGCTCTGGGACATGGGGATGGACTGGGGGGTGACAGTGCTCAGGGACATGGGGATGCACTGGGTGGTGACAGTGCCCTGGGAGGTGACAATGCTCCGGGAATGCCCCAGGATATGGCATTGCCCTGGGGGGTGACAATGCCCAGGGAGTGACAGTGCTCAGGGACATGGCATTGCACTGGGAGTTGACAATGCTTAGGGACATGGGGATGTACTGGGGGATGACAGTTCCCTGGGAGTGACAATACCCTGTGAGGTGACAATGCTCAGGGAATGCCCCAGGATATGGCGTTGCCCTGGTGGGTGACAGTGCCCTGGGACATGGGGATGGACTGGGGGGTGACAGTGGTCAGGGAATGCCCCAGGTGATGGCACTGCCCTGGGAGTGACAGTGCTCAGGGAATGCCCCAGGATATGGCGTTGCCCTGGTGGGTGACAGTGCCCTGGGACATGGGGATGGACTGGGGGGTGACAGTGGTCAGGGAATGCCCCAGGATATGGCATTGCACTGGGGGGTGACAGTTCCCTTGGAGTGACAATACCCTGGGGGTGACACTGCCCAGGGAGGTGGCCATGCCCCGGAGTGCTCAGGGAATGCCCCAGGATATGGCGTTGCCCTGGTGGGTGACAGTGCCCTGGGACATGGGGATGGACTGGGGGGTGACAGTGACAATACCCTGGGAGGTGGCAATCCTCAGGGAATGCCCCATGACAGGACATTGCCCTAGGAGGTGACAATGCCCTGGAAGGTGACAGTGCTCAGGGACATAGCAATGCACTGGGTGGGTGACAGTGCTCAGGGAATGCCCCAGGATATGGCATTGCACTGGGGGGTGACAGTGCCCTGGGAGGTGACAATGTTCAGGGACATGGCATTGCCCTGGGAGGTGACAATGCCCTGGGAGGTGATAGTGCTCAGGGACATGGCATTGCCCTGGGAGGTGACAGTGCCCTGGGAGGTGATAGTGCTCAGGGACATGCCATTGCCCTGGGGGGGTGACAGTGCCCTGGAGGGTGACAGAGCTCAGGGATATGGGGAGGCACTGGGGGGTGACAGTGCCCTGGGACATGGGGGGTGACAGATCCCTTGGAGTGACAATACCCTGGGAGATGACAGTGTTCAGAGACATGAGGATGCACTGGGAGGGGTGACAGTGCCCTGGGAGTGACAGTGCCCTGGGGGGGTGACATTGCCCAGGGACATGGTATTGCCCTGGGAAGTGACAGTGCCCTGGGACATGGTGATGCACTGGGGGAGTGCCAATACCCTGGGAGGTGACAATGCTCATGGAATGCTCCAGGACATGGTATTGCCCTGGGAGGTGACAATACCCAGGAACATAGTGATGCCCTGGGAGGTGACAGTGCCCTGGGACATGGGGATGCACTGGGAGAGTGACAATACCCTGGGAGGTGACAATGCTCAGGGAATGCCCCAGAACATGGCATTGTCCTGGGGATGACAATACCCAGGGACATGGCAATACCCTGGGGGTGACAATGCCCAGGAAGGTGGCCATGCCCCAGAGATGCCAATGCCCAGGGACATGGTGATGCCCTGGGAGGTGCTACTGCCCAGGGAGGTGGCCATGCCCCGGAGGTGACAGTGCCGCAGGCCACCTCCCTGCAGTGCCAGCGTGTCTCCGTTTGTCTCTCAGGACATCGACGCGTTCCTGGTGCGGGCCCGCGAGCGCGGCTACGAGACTGCGCTGCGCTTCGGCAAGAGGGGCCTCAACCTGGCGGCCACCGCCGCCGTGCAGGCAGCCACCAAGGTACCCGGGAGGAACCCCCAGCAGGGTGACAGCAGAGGGTGATGTCCCCTGGCTGGGGTCTGCCATTGCCCTGGGGGGGTGACAGTGCCCTGGAGGGTGACAGAGCTCAGGGATATGGGGAGGCACTGGGGGGTGACAGTGCCCTGGGACATGGGGGGTGACAGATCCCTTGGAGTGACAATACCCTGGGAGATGACAGTGTTCAGAGACATGAGGATGCACTGGGAGGGGTGACAGTGCCCTGGGAGTGACAGTGCCCTGGGGGGGTGACATTGCCCAGGGACATGGTATTGCCCTGGGAAGTGACAGTGCCCTGGGACATGGTGATGCACTGGGGGAGTGCCAATACCCTGGGAGGTGACAATGCTCATGGAATGCTCCAGGACATGGTATTGCCCTGGGAGGTGACAATACCCAGGAACATAGTGATGCCCTGGGAGGTGACAGTGCCCTGGGACATGGGGATGCACTGGGAGAGTGACAATACCCTGGGAGGTGACAATGCTCAGGGAATGCCCCAGGACACGGCATTGTCCTGGGGATGACAATGCCCTGGCGGGTGACAGTTCCCTGGGAGTGACAATACCCTGGGGGTGACACTGCCCAGGGAGGTGGCCATGCCCCGGAGGTGACAGTGCCGCAGGCCACCTCCCTGCAGTGCCAGCATGTCTCCGTTTGTCTCTCAGGACATCGACGCGTTCCTGGTGCGGGCCCGCGAGCGCGGCTACGAGACCGCGCTGCGCTTCGGCAAGAGGGGCCTCAACCTGGCGGCCACCGCCGCCGTGCAGGCAGCCACCAAGGTACCCGGGAGGAACCCCCAGCAGGGTGACAGCAGAGGGTGATGTCCCCTGGCTGGGGTCTGATCTGCCCGCTCTGTCCCCCGGTGCAGAGCCAGGGCGCGCTGGCCGGGCGGCTCCGCAGCTTCAGCATGCAGGACCTGCGCTCCCTGCCCGAGCAGGCCCCCGTGCACTTCCAGGACCCGCTGTACCTGGAGGAGCAGGAGAGCCTCCAGCAGCCCCTGGGTGAGCAGCTGGGGGGTCACAGAGGGGGGGCCCAGCAAAGCCCAGGGTGGCCGTGCTGGAGCTGGCGTGTCCCCTCTGTCCCCAGCCTACGGCGCCGGCCTCCACTACGAGAGCGAGTCGGACGATGAGGAGCTGTGGTCGGACTCGCAGGTGTCCCCCTCGGTGTCCCCACGCCGGGATCACAGACCCCTGTCCCGCAGCCAGAGCCTGAGAACCCTGAGGAAGAACCCAGGAAAAGAGGTGACGTGGGAGGGGACATACGGTGGCGGGCTGGGGCTGTGTCAGGGGGTGCTGACTGTCCTTGTCCCTGTCCCTGCCCAGGGCTCTTCGCGGCTCCTGCGCAGCCGGGCCAGGAGGAGAGCAGCTGTGTCAGAGCAGGACAGCTGAAAATGCCAGGAAACCTCTGCCAGGAGGCTGCAGAGGAATTTGCTGCTGCGGCATCAGGAGGAAGCTGTGGCTCCTTGTGGCTCCTGGTGTCCCCAGGGTGGCTCCTTGCGTCCCCTGGGGAGGCTCCTGCACCCCTGGGGATCCTCACACTGTAAATCCCTTCCGTGTGGCCCCTCGAGGAGGGGGGAGCAGCTCATCCCCCCCCCTCCCAGACCCCCCAGCTCGGTGCTGGCGCCTCTCCTGTGGGGTCTGGCCCCTCCTTTTCCCCCATGCCATGAACACTACAGGCTTCCCCCCTCTCCTGCTGCCATGGTGCCTTGTTCACAACATTCCCGTTCCCCTGGGAGCCAGGAGTGGATGTGCCTTGTCCCTCTGAAGCCAAAGCCATGGCCCCTGCCTGGGGCCCCCCCAGACACAGACTGACACCCCCATACTTGAGCCCAGAGCACTGGGCAGCACACTTTTAACATTCCCCTCTCCCAAAAAGAGGGTTTTGTACCTGGAAAAATAAATGTTTGTTGCAGACTTTGGGAAGCAGGAGTTGTCCCTGCTGCTGTCCCCTTCCACAGGAAGCATCCTAAGGTTGGTTTTTCTCTTGGAGGAAGCTCTGGAATCCATCTGAGACTCCTCCAGGGCCTCACAGAGTGTTTTCAGCCGTGTTCCAGGATCCCAGGTACAGCCCCAGACTCTTCCAGGAAATCTTCCTGAGATTTTTTCCTTTGTACCCTCAGGGATTCTCCAGGCATCTCCCAGAGCCTTTCCCCCATATTTCAGGTTCCAGAATCCCCCATACCATCCCCTGACTCCTCCAGAAAAACTTCCTGAGGTTTTTGGCATTGGAGGAAGCTGTACCCTCAAAGATCCATCCAAGTCTCCCTCCAGGCATCTCCCAGAGCCTTTCCCCCACACTTCAGGTTCCAGAATCCCACACAGCATCCCCCAGCTCCTGCAGGGAAGTTTCACGAGTCCATTTTCTCATTTGGATAGAACTCCATCCTTGGGAATCCACCCCATGCTCCTCCCAGGGTCTTTTGCCACCCTCCTCATGTCCCTGAGGCCGCGGTGACATTCCCAAACTTCCCGGGGAGTCGGGATCCCTGCAGTAGCCGCGTCCCCCACGGCGTGGCAGCAGCAGCCGGGACACATCCCTGCATCGTCCCCTGTCCCTGCCCCGTCCCTCCGGCAGTCCCGGCTCCTTCCCGGGGGGCTCATTCCCCACCGCGGTGGGCGACACGAGGCACAGAGGTGGCACAAGGTGACTCGGTGGCCTCCCCTGGCCCCGGCTCCCGCCTGTCCCGCGGTGCCCCTGCTCCCTGGCACCAATCCCCTCGCTCCCAATCCCGCCTGCCCTCGCCCCTGGGGCCAGCTGTATTTTTGTATTTTTAGCCCTTGGCTGCCGCCCGAGCCCGGGGGTCTCCGCAGGGCAGCGGGAGCTCCGGGCCGGGCTCGGCGGGGCAGGCAGGGCTGCTGCAGCAGATTAGGTGGAGGTGGCTGGATTAGCCCCGTGGAACTGCCCGCGAGACGATTACTGAAAGCAGCCGAGAAGGAAGGCTGGGTGGGGACAACGAGGGCCAGGGGCTGCTGTAATCCCCTAAAGCCGCTTAGGGAGCGCGGTTCCTCCAAGGATACGGCCCAGGGAGGCTGCTGGGGCCACCTGGGGGTCAAAGGGGGCTTCTTGCAGGTTGGGGTGCTCCCAGCAGCGCTGGATCCTCAGTGTTGCATCCCCGGGGTGCGGGGTCACGGATTCCCGGCTTGGGGAAACTGAGGCACGACACCAGCGCCTTCCCGGGCTGGGCAAAGCGGGGTCCTGGGAAGGAACAAGGACTTTTGGTGTCCCGCTTCGGGAAACCCGCGTGTCCCCCGGGGCTGGAACCCGAGGAGGGGACGGGAGCCGGGCGGGGCGGCACAGCCCGTGCCCCCGGGGCCGAGCAGCTGCGGCGGTGCCAGCGCTGCCGGCAGCTGTGTCAGCGCACGGGCCGGTGCCAGGCTGCATCAGCAGAGCCCTAATCCCCCCCGGCTCGCTGGCACCTCCCCAGCGCAGCAGTTTAAGCGCCTGACCTGAGCTCGCCCGCTGCCGCCGGCCCCTCCGGGGAGGGGCTGCCGGGCTGAGCCCCGTGGGGACCCCCAGGCCCACCCCAAAACCCCGGGCAGCGTTTGGGTGGCTGCAGTGCGGGGACAGCGCGGCTGAGGGGGTGTAGGAGTGGCACGATGGAGGGGGCTCAGGGGCTGCATTCCCAGCGGGCTTGGGGGGGAATTGTCCCCTCTGCTCCGCTCAGGTGAGACCCCACCTGCAGCTCGGGGGTCCCCAGTGCCAGAGGGACGTGGAGCTGCTGGAGCCAGTCCAGAGGAGGCCACGGAGCTGCTCCAGACCTGGAGCCCCTCTGGAGCCAGGCTGGGAGAGCTGGGGGTGCTCACCTGCAGAGGAGAGAGCTCAGAGCCCTTCCAGGGCCTGAAGGGGCTCCAGGAGCGCTGGGAGGGGCTGGGGACGAGGCAGGGAGGGACAGGACCCGGGGAATGGCTCCCTGCCTGCATCCCTGGGAGCTGGCAGGGGACCCGGTGACGCAGGGCTGCTCTGTGCCAGCTGACAGGGACACTGCTGACGCTGTGGTGCCAGCCCCGGGCCGTGGTGCCCCCACTGCCGGTTCCTGCAGGGCCGGGGGTGCCAGGACTGACCACTGCGGGGGTGTCACCCACCCCATCTCTCCCTGGGCGCTGTAGGGTCAGGGAAATCGGGGTCATCACTCCTGAATGGGATTTAACTCAGCAGGGAGCTGCTGGGTGCTTGGGGTACCACCCCCAGAGCCCCCTGCACCCCCCAGCCTCCTCCTCACCCCCTCCCAACCCCACCCTGGTGACACCGAGTGCCACCCACACTCCTGCAGCCCCCCTCCTTCCCTGCCCCATCCCCGCTCACCTCACCCCGCTCCCTCCACGCTGGGATGCTCCTGCCACCCCGGGCTGCCCTTCTCCCCCCAGCCCGGCACTTTGGGGGTCCCAGGTGAGGGTGTGACCCCCGGGGCTCCCCCCACGGCTGTCCCCCGCCGTGGCCGCTGCCTGAGTCAGCTGCTGGGGCCGGAGCCATGTGAGGCCGCGCACACATGGCTCCCCGCGCGGCACCGCGCTGTATTTTTAGCAGACGGTATCAAAAGCATAATTATGTCTGTTGTTTAAACGCAGCCTCTTCTCTGGCAGCCCCGGGAGCTCTCAGCTGCCTCCCGCCGCAGAGGGCAGCGAGGGCGGGCTGAGGAGCCGCGGGCGGGGGGATGAGACCCCCCTGCCTCCCTCCCTCCCTGCCTGCCTCCCCCTGCCCAGCGCTGCCGCGCAGGTGAAACCCCCCCTCCTCATTCTGGGGGGGCTGCGCCCCCACAGCGCGTCTGAGGCGCGCACATGCCCCCGGGCTGCCGCTGAGCCGCTGGTGAGGATGAGGAGGAGGAGGAGGATGGCGAGGAAGAGGATGACGGGTGGGAAGCGCGGCGGTGGCGGGAGGGGTCGGGAAAAGGGCGTTCGAGGTGACGGGAGTGTGGGAGGACACAGCTGAAGGAGCGCTGCTGCATCGCCCCCTCCTCCCCGCAGCCGCCTGTCCCCCCGGGGACCCGGCTGTCCCCAGCCAGCCCGCGCTGGCACCGAGCACGGCTCCGGCTCCGTGTCCCTGCCGCGACACCGCGCTGGGCTGAGGATTTTTTGGGGACCGCGATCCCCGGGCCGGTGGGGAGCCGAGCATCACCTCCAGGGCGAGCTGCGCACCGCGCTCTGGCGACAACACAGCATCTCCGGCCACCGGGGGAAACTGAGGCAGAGCATTGCCTGCCGCCAAGGGAAACTGAGGCAGCGGGCAGAGGCTGCCCACCGCTCCTGTCCCGTGTCACCGCTCCTGTCCTGTGTCACCACGGCAGCGCGCTGGGCACGCCGGAGGGGCCCGGGCTGAGTGCAGGAGCCGCCGGGCGCTGCCAGGTAGGTGCTGCCAGGGCCGCGGGCAGCTGGCACCCGCCGGGGTGGCACGCAGGTGGCAGCGGGCTGCCCGTGTCCCTGGCTGCCGTCCTAAGCCCTCGGCCCCGGGGTGAGCTTTTAATTACATCAAGGCATTTGCAGCGGGTTCCTGGCGCTGGGTAAACAGGAGTCCCGGGCACGCGGAGGGGGGCCGGGGGTGGCACAGCGCGGGCAGCGTGCCCCGCAGCGGGGCTGCCCGGGACGGCCGGTCCGCGCCCGGGAGGGAAGGAGGGATGCAGGCGCGGCAGCATCCATCCCCTGCGGGTCCTGCGGCGTCCCCCCGGCACTCCCGGGCCGCGCGCGGGGCTGGCACGGCGACATGGGGGACACCGGCACAGGTGGGTGCGCTGCGACATCGCGCCGTGCCCTCTGACGCGGACCAGCCGCTCCTTCTCCTCGCTCCGTCCATCCCAAGCTTCGCCTTGAGGGCGTGCGGCACCCGGGAGGGGCGAGCCGAGCCGGGCCGGGCCGGGCGCGTTGGGGGGTCGGGAGCGGCCCCAGCCCGGAGGAGCGGCTCGCCTGTCCCCGGCAGCGGAGCGAGCGGGATTAGCGATGCTTACTCACCTCCCTGGGGAAAAGCGGGAGATTAGGGCCGGGAGAAGGTCCGACCCTGCGGCGGCGGGGCCGGACCGGGCCGCTGGGGCTCTCCGGAACCGGCACCGGCACCGGGGAGGTCGGCAGGCCCCGCCGCACCGGCAGCCGGGGCTGGAGGGGAGCGCAGGCTGCCAGAGCAGTTGGGCTGTGGCCCTAATTCCCAGAAAGCTGCTCGTGTGGGAGTGAGTGTCCTCCCGTGCCCTCCGCTCCGCCGCAGCCTCCAGACTCCTGAAGGTTTGACGTGGGGCTTTTTTTTTTCCCCTTTTTTTCTTTTCTTTTTTTTTTTTTTTTTATTTTAAGGCCCGGGTGCAGATCCAATTTTTCATTAGGATAATTTTACTGCGTAGATGGTTTTTTTTTCCCCCTCCTGCCAAAACACCCAGCCATATGCTATTATTTTCCTGGTGTAAACTGCCACCACTTCCCTTTCCTGAGCCGGTGGATGTCAGGGAGAAGCCTGACAGCTCCTCTCCTGATAAATGGTGGAAGCCTAAAGGGCAGTGTCTCCAGTGGATCCTGCTCCAGCTGAGCTGTGTGCCTTGGCAGAGGGAATTTGGGAGTTCTTCTTGCTGGGGCAAGTTTACATTAAAGGTCACAATGAGATTCATCGTGCCCCTTTTTTTTCCTTTTCTTCTTTTTTTTTTTTTTTAATTTAAGCGCCGGGTGCAGATTAACAAAAGCTCTCGCGGCCACCGCGCCCGGTGCTGGGCACGGGGGGGGATCGGGGCTCCTTCCTCTGCTTCCCTCAGCTTCCTCACCTGCGCCGCGGTGGAGGCAGGTAGGTGCGTGCCGGGCTCCGTGCCGGGGCTGGGAGGAGGAGGAGGAGGAGGAAGGGCTGGGGTTCTGTGTGTGCACTCCGGGCAAGCCGGAGCGGGGATCCATTTTGCACGAGGGAAAAGCTGGGTTTTGGGTTCCTGCCCGGCAGAGGTGGTTTGTGGGGCTGGGGGTGCCCTGGTCCGGCTGTGGGCACCGGGATGGGGCTGGCACGATCCTGCTGGGACATCGGGAGAGGGGTTCTGGGGGGAGCAGGACCCTCACCCATCCCTCCCGCGGTGCTGGATCGTCCTGGGGATCCCCTGTCCCACACGTGTCCCTCATGGGGACACCGTGGGGACAGTGTCCCTCTGCCTGACGTCCCCACAGCGTCCCCCACGATCCCCGGGGACACCCTGGGGACAGTGTCCCTCTGCCTCACCTCCTCTCAGTGTCCCCCATGAGCCCGGGGGACACTATGGGGACAGTGTCCCTCTGCCTGACGTCCCCACAGCGTCCCCCACGATCCCCAGGGGACACCACGGGGACAGTGTCCCTGCACCCCGCGTCCCCACAGCGTGCCCCCCGTGCTGGAGCGGGCAGGGATGCCGGGGTCTCTAATTCGGGAGTTCCCGGCCTCCTGCGGTGGCGCTCTGGCCAGCGCTCGGCTCCTGGGTGTTGCCGTCCCTCTGCTCGCCCTCTGATTTGGGGGAAAACCAAAGATTTTGGAGCTCTGTGCCAAGCCACCGGGACAGAACACCCTCGGGGGTTATTCGCAGCTGGCAGAGCTCAAACCCAGCCTGGACCCCCCCGGTTCACCCTGGGGACCCTCTGGGGGTCCTCTGGGACGGGCAGGGAGTGAAGGGACCTGGGCAGGGGTTGGGGAGCAGTGGCTGAGCCCCGTGGGGGCTGCACTGGCCCTGGCACGGCTCCCCCAGGCTCCCTGGCACGCCGAGGGCAGCGTGGCGTGGGGAGGGGACAGTGCCCAGGGATGCTGCCCCGGTGCATGGTGGGAAATTCCCTGCTGTCCCTCCATCATCCCCCTGCTCCCCGCTCCTTGCCCCAGCAGTGGCTGCCACCGACCGACGCTCCTTGGTGTTTTCAGCGCGGTGCGTCCGTCCCCCTCCCCACCTGTCCCCTCCCTCGCGACATTCCCGACACCCCGGGCACCCCCAGAGCCCCCCGGGCACGCCGGGACGCTGCAGACCCTTCCCGGGGTCCCTCCCGGCTGCCAGCCCCGTGCCAGCCCTTCCGGATCCATCATTCCTGCGGAGGGGAGGGAGGAGCGGGAAGAGTTTGTCTTTCAGCACCTTCTCATCGCAGGCAGGCGCGGGCTCTCCCTCGCCCCGAGCCCTGTCTGGGTCCCCTCCCTGTTCCCTGGCACCCACTGGGTGCAGCCAGCAGCGCCCCAAAACCCCCAGACCTCCTGGGCGAGCAGGGCTGGCGGTCCCGCCATGGCATGGCACGGCCTGGCACGGCCGAGCGACCCCGACTAGGCAAGGGTTAACCCCCGCTGCCAGCTCCCGGCGGGACCGGGCCGAGGAGCGGCTGGGCTGGAGTTGCCCGTGGCGCTGCCGGGCTCCCGCGGGCCCTGGCCTGCCCTCACCCCTTCTGCCGTGCCCCCAGCCCGCCTGGCCCCGCTGCCGAGCCGTGCCGAGCCGTGCCGAGCCGTGCCGGGCCGGCCGTGCCCAGGGATGGGTTTATGTAAGGCGGGCACGGCCCGGGGACACACGCGGGTTACATAAACCCGCACGGCGCTGCTGGCACCGGTGCCAGCTCCCCGCGAGCCCAGGAACGGGGGCTCCGCCTGGGAGACCCCCCGGGTCTGCTCCTCGCTCCCCACTGGGGGTGCTGGGGGGTTTGGGGCGGGGTGTCCTCGTGCTGGAGGTCCTGGGGCTTGGGGACACTGTGGGGGGCACCCACAAGGTCCCAGCTTTTGCTTGGTGGGCTGAAAGGCATGGTTGGGATGAGTGAGACCCTGGTGGGCACGGCTGGGATCTGTGTGACCCTGGTGGGCACGGGTGGGATCTGTGTGACCCTGGTGGGCACGGCTGGGATCTGTGTGACCCTGGTGGGCATTGGTGGGGTCTGTGTGACCCTGGTGACCACAGCTGGGGTCTGTGTGACCCTGGTGGGCACAGCTCTGATCTGTGTGACCCTGGTGGGCACGGCTGGGATCTTTGTGACCCTGGTGGGCACAGCTGGGATCTCTGTGCCCCTGCTGGGCTGCAGGGCAGGGACGGGAGGCCCCAGGCACTCCCTCCTCCTGCCTGGTGAGGGTGGCACCACGCGGATGCTGTCACAGCACTTCTGTGCTCCCCAAGGCCCTCGGAGCCCCTCGGAGCACACCCTGCTCTCCCCAGCTGCCTGCTGGGGGGGTCTGCAGGGGGGGAGCTCTGCCCGCACCCCGGGCAGTGCAGGAGGGATGGACACGGCTCCGGAGCACCCTCGGGGCCAGATCTGTAACCTTTGGCCAGAGCCGAGGGGGTTTGGGGTCCTGGGGACCCCCATCCCGTAGGATGGCCACCTGCTCCGTGCTGGCCCCGTCCCCAGCACCGGGACAGGGACTCGTGGCCCATCCCGGTGTTTGTCCCGTTCCAGTTTTGCCCGGAGCCTTTCACTGGTGACGGGGCGGCCCTGGCGAACAAAGGGCGCTTTCTTCACCCGCACGGGGCAGAGCACACCTGCCCGCCTTGGCACCGCCGCCGGTGCCCCCGGGGCTGGGCGGCACCGCCGGCACCGCGCCGATTCCCGGTTCCCGGGCGTCAGCAGCCCCAGCATCGCTGCCGCCCGCCCCAGTCGCTGCCGGAGCCGGCGGAGGCTGCACGCTGGTGGGGAGCAGAGCCGCTGCCGCCTCCTTGTCTCAGGATGCTCAGGGCTGCCTAGAGCCGGGGGAAGGTCCCGCTGTGCTGCCGCTGCTCCCTGCGTAGTCCTGCTCCGCCGGGACCCCCAGCTCGTAGGACGATAGGCAGGAGGAGCACGGAGACTCCCAAGCCAATGGATCAAAAACTCCAGCTCCAGCACGAGGAGAAGAACATCCCCAGGGCCGCCCGGGCGGCTTTCTGCCTCCTCCAGATCCCGGAGCCGGACCCCTTCAGCCTGTGGGTTTAGGTGCCCCCGGCCGGCCGGGCTCGCCTCTCCCGAGCCGGTGTCACCGGCGGAGACCCCGCTCGTCCTCGGCGCTGGGGTCCCTGATGGACCCTGCAGGTAGCTGGGGGGCGGGGGGGATGCTCGCCGAGCAGCTTCCTGTGCTCCGGCTGGGATGAGGGACAGGGGACAGCGTCACCCTGGGGCAATGTCACCCTCGGGGTGACCGCGAGGATGGCGGTGGTGGCGCAGCTTCGGGGCACTGGGGAGCTGTGCTGGGAGAGCTTCCTGAGGTGGGGCTGGGGGGACAGCCTGGATGGATGGGGTGGCTGTCCCCAGGGTGCCCCTGTGCCCCGGGGTGCTCCGGCTCGGACAGGGTGCCCGGGATGCTTCCCGAGCACCGGGAACGGGGACTTTGCGTCTCTGGGAGGAGGAGGTGACAGGAACGAGCGGGTTTGGGGACACGCGCGGCTGTCCTCACGCTGCTCCTGTCCCCATGCCCTCGGGGCGGCTCTGTGCCACCCCGCAGCAGGGCCGGGAGCTGCTGAACTCCGCTCTGTCCCCCTCCAGCAGCCGGGCACGGCGAGCTGGGGGACACGGGCGCGGGATGCCACCGCCGGCGCTGCGAGGTCTGGCTCCGCACCCGCGTCTGCGTGTGGCCCGGGTCCCGGGGGAGGGTTAATCCTGCAAATCCCCCCCGGCATCTCTCCCAGGAGGGGCCCCTGCCAGCGGGGAGCTCCCCCCTCGCTGGAAGCCCTCCTGGGAAGCGCAGCCCAGCCCTGGCCGGAGGCGAATACCTGCGCGGGGCACGGCCTCCCCACGCTGGGTGCCAGCGGCCGGGCGCGGGGCCAGCCTGGGTGCGGAGGGACTGGTGGGCGCGAGGAGCGTCCCGGCCGCCAGCCCCGCCGGGATGGGCGCAGGAGGGACGGCACGGCACGGCACGGCGACACCCGCCCCAGACACGTGTCCGCCAGGATCGTGCACCCCGGCGGATGCCGCGGGGCGCGGGAGCCGGGGACCCCCGCGCCGTGCGGGGAGCCTCCCACCCAACACGGGAGGAGGGAGCGGGGGGGTTAAAGGAGGCCCCCCAGCAACGCCCCCAAGCATCCCCGTGCCTCAGTTTCCCCGCAGCGCTGCTCGGGCAGGGGTGGGTGCTGCTCCCCGCTGATGTCCCGCTCCCTGCCCGCAGGATCCGGCCTGCCCGGGACGGCGCTGAGCACCACATGAGTGTCGGAGCAGCATGGCCAGCGACGCGAGGATGGGGGAGACCCCGGCGCGGTGGAGAAGAGCCCCGGAGGCCGCGCAGGACTCCCGGGGGATGGAGAGCAGCGGGATGCTTTTATCCCGAAGCGCCGCTGCCGAGCTGGGACTCGCGGGCTACCCGGAGCCCGGCAAGCTGAGCTACGCCGTGGAGAAAGGATGTCCCTGGAGGGGCTCCGAGGGATGCCTGGGGCCCGTCCGGGAGCTCGCCGCTGGCCGCCTGGGCTGTCCCTACGCCCCGGCCCCGCCGTGCCTGAGCCGCCCCAAGGACGGAGCCGAGCTGCCCCCGCTGCCGCCGCCCCGGAACGGGCAGCCCAAGGCGGGCTGGGGGGAGCCGGGCAAGGAGCGCCCGGGGCCGCGCTGGGCCGAGGCCGTGCTGGCCCCGCTGGCCCTCTACAGCCACGCGTACCAGCGCTACCCGCTGCCCGTGCCCGGGCTGGACACGCCGCGCCCCGGCACGGCCGGCAAGCCCCGCAGCGCGGCGGGGGACGCGGCCGGAGACCCCCCGGCCTTCCCGCACTGCCCCTTCCTCGTGGAGGCCAAGCACGGCCCCTTCCTCCTGTCCTCGCTGCTGCCCGCCGGGCCCCCGGCCGAGCCCCCGTTCGGCAGCGCGGGGGCCGAGGGGCCGGGCCCGGGGGGCGACGGGCGCTTCGCCGGCCTGGACTGGCCCTTGGGCTCCTACGCGCCCCCCTGGGGACAGCCCCTCTACCTGGGGGTCCCGCCGAGGTGCAAGGCGGCTCCGGCCCCCTTCGACGGCTGCTCCGGCTCAGGGAACAAGGTAGGACACCTGGCAGCGATGATGCTCGGCGGTCCCGGGGCTCCCCGGAGGTGACAGCGGCTCCAGCCCCGCCTGAGCCCGGCTGGGAGAGGCGGTGCTGGCACCAGCACCCGGACGGGGCCTGGCAGCACCCCCAGAGGGGGCACAGCCCTCTGCTCCCCCCGCAGCCCGGCAGGGGGGTCCCAGCCCCCCGAGCGCCGCCGGGGTGACGCCGCCGGGGCTCCGCGGTGTCCCCGCGGGTGGTGCCACCCCCGGGCTGAGTCACGGCGGCGGAGCCGCGGCACGGGGGCGGCGGGAGGCAGCGCTGCCAGCCCTGGGCGCGCCCGTCGCGCCCCGTGCCGCTGCGGCTCCCCATTCCTTTCCCACGCTGGCAGCGGGGCACACGGGCTCCCCAGGACCCGGCCCCGGGCACCGGGAAGCACCGGGCGGCTGCGCAGCGCGGCAGGGCTGTGGGGAAACTGAGGCAGGGGAACGGAACGCTCCCCGCCACCCCCTCGCGGGGATGTGGGTGACAGCAGCGACACGGGGACCCCCGCCTGGGGTGACACCGCGCCTCTGCTCCCTTCCAGGAGTTTTACGCCAAGAAAGGACCCGGGTTCCACCCCTCGGCCAAGAACCACGCGGCGCCGCAGCTGCTGGGCAAGAGCCGAGCAGGGCACGACGGAGACGGGGAGGGGGAGCCGGCGGTGCCGGAGCTGCCGGGAGCCCCGTGGAGGGATGGCCGGGCGGGGGGCAGCTCGGCGGTGCCCGCTCCCCATCCCCGCACGCCTCCCCCCGGCGCCAGCCGCCCCCTGTTCCTGCTGCAGCCCGGCTCGGGGGGCTCGGGGGGCTGCGGGGGGCCCTGGGTGGGCGCGCGGCCCCACGCCGCCGATTTTTCCATGGACACGGGGCCGGGCCGGCCCTTGGAGCCCAAAGACGAGCGCCTGGGCTACCGAAGCGCCCAGCCCGGCTCGCCCCCGGCGTGCGGGGAGCCCCATCCCTCGCACCCAGCGGCTCCGGCCAAGCCCGAGCCCTCCCCGGGCTGTCTGTGCCCCACGCCGGGCTGCGATGGGTGCCCGGGGGTGCCCAACCTCTTCGAGCCCCCCCTGGGCATGGCCGGGGGGCGCTTTCCGTGCCCCCCCAGCAACCACACCAAGCTGAAGAAGACGTGGCTGACGCGGCACTCGGAGCAGTCGCTGCCTCGCTCCAAAGCTCCCCGGCGGGACGGGGGTCCCGAGCCCCCCGGGGAGGGCAAGCGCTCGGCCAAACGCCCCCACGGCACCGCCGAGGGTCCCCGCCCCGCCGGAGAGGGCGCCGGGGCGGCCAAGAGGGGCACCAAGGCCACCGCGGGCACGGGTGATGGCACGGAGAGCGCGGGGGACGCCGAGGAGAGGAGGATGGAGCTGGGAGAGGAAGGTGAGGACGCACAGGATGCGCGGAGAGGGCGGGGGCAGCACCCGATCCCGAGGGAATTTTGCATCGCGGCTCCCGGCGCCCACAACACGAGCTGGGAACACGTGTGGGCTGCGGAACCTGCTGCGCTGGGGTTTTTCCCGGCGTGACCGGGTCTGGCAGCGGTTCCCGGGGTGGGCACGGATGGAAATGTCCCTTTGGGGCAGCGTGACACCCTCGGGGGGGATTCCCGGGGGTTGGGAGCGCTGCGGTTCAGGCAGTGACTCCTCGGGGAGGTGTTGGCATCCCAGGCCCGACCTCTGAGCAGCTCCAGCCCTACTTTCCAGCCCTACTTTCTGGCCCAGTTTCCAGCCCCCGCCACAGCGTGCCAGTCACAGGATGCTGGAATGCTTTGGGTTGGAAGGAACCATAAAAATGACATTAAAACGCATCCAGTCCCAGCTCCTTGCCAAGCCCGGGGACACCTTCCACCACCCCAGGCTGCTCCAAGCCCCGTCCAAGCTGTCCTCGGGCACTTCCAGTCCCTCGCGGCTGCTGTGGATGGGGCTCCGCGGTGTCCCCAAGCGCTTCCCGTGTCCCCAGAGCTGCCGAGCCGTGCGGGGGAGCCGTGGTGCCTGCAGAGCCTGCCCTGCACGGCGCTGCCCCCCGGCATCCCCCGCTGCTGTGCCTGCGCCCCCCGCGCCGGGGGGGACCCCGAGGGCGAGGAGGAGGAGGAGGAGCCCCCCGAGAGCCCCTGCAGGCTGCTGCACTTCCGCAGGTGAGCCCGGGGCGAGCTCGGCGCGGCGGCGTCCAGCAGGACGTGCCAGGGGGCGGTGGAGCAGCCCCTTGTTTGGAGTGTCCCTTTTGATCACCCCACTTTGGAACGTCCCCTTCTGTCACCCCGGCTCAGGGCATTTCCTTCCTGTCACCCAACTCTAGAGCATCCCCTCCCTTCACCACACTTTGGAGCATCCCTTGCTGTCACCCCTCTTTGGGACATGATCTCTGTCACCCTGCTTTGGGACACCCTCTCTGTCACCCCTCTTTGGGACACCCTCTCTGTCACCCTGCTTTGGGACACCCTCTCCTGTCACCCCACTTTAGAGGAATCCCCCCTCTCCCCCCACTTTCTTGTCCCGACCTTTTCTCCTCTTTTCTCCTCTCCCACCACCCCAAGTTTTCACCTCTCCTCTCATCCCCCCACTCTGAGCGCCCCCATCTCTGTCCCCCGTCCCTGCAGGCTCGCCCTGGGGGACAGCGGCGAGCTGAGCGTCGATGGCCTCTGCAGCCTGCGGGAGGCCGAGGGCGAAGCGGCCGGCGCTGCCCCGGGGCTCAGGAGCGCGGGGAGCAGCCTCTGCCTGGCCAAGTACCTGCTGGGGGTCCTGGGGGACCCCTTCTGCGCCGCCGTCCGCAGCGACAGGGACACGTGGCCGGGAGCCCCCGGCGGGCCCGAGGGTGAGCAGGGAGCAGGGCGGGGGTGGCACTGGGGACACGAGGACACCGAGGCTGTGTTTCCCGCAGGGGTGACGGGCTGGCGGCGGGGGGAAGGAGCCCCGCAGCTCTGTGACGCCTGCCAGCGTGGCTTCTTCAACTCCCACTGGAGCTGCGCCAGATGTGGCTTCCAGCTGTGCCCCGAGTGCCACCGCAGCCGGCGGGAGGAGAGTGGCGCTGGTACGGGGACGGCGAGGGGTGGAAAAGGGGGTGTCAGCCCTGGGGGGCTCCGTGGGGACAAACGAAACCTCTCTGACACAGAGGGCCCGGCGCTGCCCCCGGAGTGTGCCCCCGGGCGGGACCACCACGTGTCAGCGCTGGTCCCCACGCAGTTCGTCCCCACCTGTGGTGAGTGCGTCCCCCAGCCCCAAAAACCCCCTTTGGCCGCTGCTGGGGGGTTGACACCCCTGTCCCCATCCTCCCCCAGTCCTGACCCGGCTCTGGAAGCTCCTGCACGAGGTCAGGGCCAAGTTTGGCATCGAGTCGCGCTGTCCCTGCGGGGCGGGGGCCGCGGAGCAGAGCCTGGCGGAGCCCCCGGGCAGGCAGGTACGGGGGGGGGGGGGCTCGGGTTGCTGGGGAAAAGGGGGGGGGGGGGCGCCCCAGCCCCGCCCAGGGGGGGGGGCTCTGGATGCTGGGGAAAAGGGGGTGCGGGTGCGCCCCAGCCCCGCGCAGGGCGTGGGATGCGGCTCCCGCCTGGATCCCCACTGCTGCGGGTGTTTCAGGAGCCGCCGGGGGCCGCGGTGCCCGCCGTGCCCCCCCGCAGCCACGGCCCCGCCGACCCCGCCCGGCCCATCAAGGAAGGTAGGGCCGGCTGCGACCCCCCCGCCGCGGGCACGGCCGCGCTCCGGGGGGGTCAGGGATGCCGCACCCCCTCCCCTTTTGGGGTGCCGGGTGGGGGGTGACGTGCGGAGGGCGGCGTGGGCGACCCTGACCGCGTTGTGCCCCGAGCAGAGAGCCCCGAGGGGGGGCCGCCGTCCCCGGGGCAGCCCCCGGCGCGGGGGGGGGCGGTGCAGAGCACGACCCTCTGCGACCTGCTGGCCTCCACCGCCGTGAAGCTGTGCCTGGGCCAGGACGGCGTGCGCATGGCCTTCGCCCCCGTGGCACCGGCGCTGCCCAGCGTGAGTCCCGCGACCCTCGGGCCACACCGTGCCCTGCTGCCCACCCCCTTCCCTGCTGCCCACCCCGTTCCTTACTGCCCACCCTGTGCCCTGCTGCCCACCCCATTGCCTGCTGCTCACCCTATTCCTTAATGCCCACCCCATTCCCTGCTCCCCGTCCCCTTCCCTGCTCCCCACCCCATTCCCTGCTCCCCACCCCCTGCCCCGCTGCCCACCCTGTGCCCTGCTGCCCGTCCCCTTCCCTGCTGCCCACCCTGTGCCCTGCTCCCCATACCCTTCCCTGCTCCCTACCCCATTCCCTGCTGCCCACCCCGTTTCTTACTGCCCACCCCATTCCCTGCTGCCTACCCCATTCCCTGCTGCCCACCCCGTTCCTTACTGCCCACCCCGTGCCCTGCTGCCCACCCCATTCCCTGCTGCCTACCCCATTCCCTGCTGCCCACCCTGTGCCCTGCTGCCAACCCCGCTCTGCCGGGGCTGGGGGGGTTCCCCGTGCCCTGAGGGGCTCCCCAATCGCGTCCCCCCCAGGACAATCGCCTGACCAGCATCCTGGACAGCATCATCGCCCGCGTGGTGGAGAAGAAGATCCAGGAGAGGCAGGCGGGGGCCGAGCTGAGCCCCCCCGGCTCCCCGGACCCCCCCGCATCCCACTGCATCCTGACCCCCAGCGGGCTGCTCTGGCTGCACGAGCCCGGCCACGCCAGCAACTACAAACTGTTCCAGGAGCACTGGAGGCAGGGCCAGGTGAGCCCCCGTCCCTGGTGTGGGGTGACACCCGGAGCCCCCCGTCCCCGGGTGTGGGGTGACACACGGAGCCCCCTGTCCCTACGTGTGGGGTGACACCCCGGAGCCCCCATTCCTGGGTGTGGGGTGACACCCCGAGCCCCCCAGCTTCCCCACTGAGCCCCGGCTGCCCCGGCAGCCTGTGCTGGTTTCAGGGCTGCAGAAGAGGCTGGAGCCGCGCCTGTGGGCGCCCGAATCCTTCCAGCCCCCGGGGCAGGAGGAGGAGGAGGTGGAGGCCGTGAACCTGCGGGCACCGCGGAGCCGGGTCCGGATGAGCAGCCGCCAGTTTTGGGATGGCTTTGCCGCCAGCACAGGTGAGGGGACGAGGAGCCAGTGGGGTCCCCGGTGTGATTTTGGGGTGAGGTGCGAGGGGAGCCGGGCTCCATCGCTGTCGTGGCTCCCTCCCACAGCATCCCCCGAGCAGGAGCAGGGCGGCGGGGACCCGCTGAAGCTGGAGCGTGCCCTTGGGGACACGGAGCTGAGCCGGTGGGTGACAGCACAGGGTGGCATCGCCCCGACGCCCCCTCCCCGCGCCAGCTGGCTCGGCCGGCGGGGCTCAGTGGGGTTCGGGGGGGTCCTGGGTGTCACCACACCCCCTGTGCCACAGGGCCACCAACCTGCAGGCCAGCCTGCCCCTGCCCGAGTACTGCGGGGCCAGCGGCCGCCTCAACCTGGCCAGCTACCTGCGGGGCCGCCGGGGCCGGCGCTGGCTCCGCCCGCGCGTCTGCGTGGCCTACGGTGAGAGCGGTGCCGGGGCTTGGGGTAGCCGCGGATTTGGGGGCACCGGGGATTTGGGGGGCACCGGGGCTTTGGGGGGTTCCCGGCCTTTGGGGGGCAGCCAGGGATTTGGGGGACACCGGGGCTTTGACGGGCTCCAGGGCTTTGGGGGGCACAGGGGCTTTAGGGGTTCCCGGGTTTTGGGCGTTCCCAGGCTTTGGGGAACAGCCGGGCTTTGGGGGGCTCCGGGGCTTTGGGGGTTCCCGGGCTTTGGGGCTCCCGGGTTTTGGGGGATCCCAGGTTTTGGGTGCCAGCCTGGCTCATTCCCGCCCCAATCCCCAATCCCCTCCAGGCGCGCATCCGCAGCAGCAGAACTTCGGGACCAAACCCCTGACGGTGGAAGCGGCCGACTCCATCACCGTCCTGGCGCACTCAGAGCCCGCTCCGCGGGGTACGGGGGGCGGTGCGGGCCCCCCCAGGCCCAGCCCCGCGCCCCGCGCCCCCCCTGAGCCCCGTGTCCCCGCAGAGCTGCCGCTGCCCGCGGGCGCGGAGGAGCTGGAGGCGGCGCAGCGGGCGCGGCTCGGCGCCGGGGCGCGGCCCGGGGCGCTCTGGCACATCTTCCGCGCCGAGGATGCCCCGCGGATCCGCGAATTCCTGCGCCGGGTGGGCGCCGGGGGTCCCGAGCCCGCTGCGGAGCCCAGCTCCGCTCTGCCCGGCACCGCACGGGAGCCGGGCCCGGACGGGGCGGCCCCGGCGGAGCCCCCCGGGCGCTACCTGGAGCCCGGGCTGCGGCGGCGGCTGCGGGACGAGTGCGGGGTGAGCGGCTGGAGCCTCCTGCAGCTGCCGGGGGACGCCGTGCTGGTCCCCGCCGGGGCTCCCCACCAGGTAGGCGGCGCCGAACCCCTCCCCGAGAGGCTGTGCCAACCCCCCCGGGGAAACTGAGGCACGGCAAACCCGGGCAGGTGCAGAGCCTCGGCGGCACCATCAGCGTGGAGCAGCAATTCCTGTCCCCGGAGAGCGCCGTGCGCCTCCGCCACCTCGGCACCGGCCCCGCCGGGACCCCGCGCCAGCTCCGCGCCCAGGTGCGTGCCCGGCGGGGGGATTTGGGGGCGCTCCGGGGGGAATTTGGGGGTGCCGGGGCGGGCTGAGCGGTGCTGAGCCCCCTCTTTGCTTCCTGGCAGCTGGACGGGATGATGTTCGCCGCCGTGAGGGAGGCGCTGGGAGTCCTGCGGGGCTGCCAGTGAGGGCACGGAGCGACGGGAGGACACCGGGAGCGTCGGGCACGGGCACGGCCGGGGCACCGGGAGCCTCGGGCACGGCCGGGATACCGGGAGCCTCGGGCACGGCCGGGGCACCGCGGGGAGCCGGCACCGGGCGCCTTCTGCTCGGTGCTTCGCTCCCAGAGCTGCCGGGAGGGCTCGGGGCAGGAGGAATAAAGTGTCCGGAGGCGCTGGCACCACCAGCACCCGGCTCGGCGTGTCCCTTTGTGCCCGCTCCGTGCCACCGGGGGCAGGGGGCTCCGGTCCCTTCATCACACCGGGGTCCGGGCTGCTCTCCCTTCACTCCCCTCCATCCCACGGGGGTCAGGGGCGCTCCGGGTGTCCCGGGATGGGGGCAGGTGGCACAGCCGGGCCCGTCCAGCCCCGGGCAGGGGGCAGCGGTGCCCGGAGTTCGGCCCGGGCTCAGCCCCGGCAGCCTCACGCACAGCTGGGAACAGCTGGATGGCGCTGCCCAGAGCCTGCGGGAGCCAGGGCGCTGCTCCGCCCTGTGCGATGGAGGAAAATGACCGAACACCGCCGGGCAATTAGCACGGAGAAATTAATTAACACTGGGCATTGGGCACTGGGCAATTAACTAACACCGGGCAATTAGCATGGGGCAATTAATTAACACCGGGCATTGGGCACTGGGCAATTAACTAACACCGGGCAATGGGCACTGGGCAATGAACAAGAAGCGATGGGCATCCCCGCGGAACCAGCACCGACTAATGAACCCCGCGTAATTAACTCTGCGCCACGCTCGCACGCGGCCCCTTTAAAGCCAAGTCCCGCCCGATGTGAGTGGCAGCAGGATCAACCAATCACCGGCCCGCTGCGCCGGCGGGCTGACCAATAGGCGGGGCGCAGGGGGGCGGGGCCGGGGCCGGCGCGGCGGAGCCCCGGCGCGGTGAGTGCGCGGCGCCTCCCAGTGCCCCCCAGTCCAGCCTCTCCTTTTCCCACTACCTCTTCCAGTCCGGGCAGCCTTTCCCTCCCAGTAACCACCAGTCCAGCTACCCCTTTCCTCCCAGTATCTTCCAGTCCGGGCAGCCTTTTCCTCCCAGTAACCACCAGTCCGGGCAGCCCTTTCCCCGCAGTGCCCCGCAGTCCGGGCAGCCCTTCACGTCCTTCCTCTTCCCGTGCATCCTGCAGTCCGGGCAGCCCTTCTCGTACCGCAGCCCCCCCCGGCTCCCCAAATCCTGCCAGCTCTTCCCGGCCGGCCCCCCGTGCCCCCCCCAGTCCAGCCAGCCCTTGCCGTCCTGCGCCCCCCCGTGCCTGCCCCAGTCCGGCCAGCCCCTGTGCTACCGCAGCGCCCCCCGCCTCAAAC